AAAAAAAAAAAAAAGCCGCTTTTCGCAATGGGCACTCTTTAAATATATATTTATAATATTTTTTTTTACACCCTGCCAATCTTTAATTTTTCCATTCTAAAGTTAATTATTCGATAAGTTTTAATTAAAAATATATCAATCATTTTTTTAAAACGGTTGAAGCTCATAACTGCAAAACATTTTGTATTGAAATTTATAGGCTGATCAATAAATTTAAATTATAAAAAAAATAATAATAAATGTCTAAAACCTCTGTGGGTGAAATTTTAATGACAGCCTCCTAAACTCTTTCTTAATATCTTCATCTGTAGCATTTCTATTCAAGTCCAGCAATCCATAATAATCAAGCCCCATATTTTTAACTTTTTTTTAAATTGAATTTAGAAAGAATACTTATTTTGATACAAACATCAATTTTAAAATGAAAGTTATCATGAAATAGTTTTAGAGCTAATGCTTGAATAAAAAAAATTCGGCTTACAACTCACTTATTCTAATGAAACAATTCAATGTAGCAATTCTAATTAAACAATTGGGTATAATATGAAAAAAACACAACTACTTCGATTTAGTAGGAACAACATATGGCGCAATGCTAAACGAATGGAATTTAGTTGTTGTTTATTTAGTTATTGTTATTAGTAGTTGTTGTTATTTGTTTTAGTTGTTGTTGTTTATTTAGTTGTATTTAGTTTCAATAACTTTTCTTTATAATGCAATAAAATCTGGCGAGCAGCTATTTAAACGATCGAACACTTCGTTTGTTTATTTGTGGCTTGAAGTTAGGCTCGCAGAAAATGCCGTTCATGGGTTAAATTTAGTAGGAACAACACAACCTGTGACGTAGGCTATATTATACCCAATTCTGTAATGTAGTCATTACTTTGTTAACAATAACACAAAATGAACATTATTATTAAATTATGATTTAAGAGTTCTTAGCGCGTTCCCCATCATAGCAAACACTGTAAGACATATCATTATCTAAGTTTACAGCAACGGTTCCTAATTTTTTTCAGCTACAAAGAAGAAAAAAAGAATCATTCTTCTTCTATGCTTAGGCACTACAGCTGGTTACCAACAAAGGCCCTGGCAGGGCCGGGATAGCCTGGTTGGTAGGGCACTGGGCCCATGTCTAAGAGGTCGTGGGTTCGATCCCCGCCAGCCGAAGACTCCCCGTGCAGTAAATGGTGACTGAAGCAAGTTAAATCTGTCGAGTCTCAAAATCCTCCATGTTCCCATAACAAATCATACTTCTGGGGGTACTGATCCAGGAGTTTCCTTGTCTTCTGGATTGGTTCAAAATTACAAGGCTACAGAGTTGAACATCAGTAGTCGTAAACCCGAAATTGGGTCGGTTGTTCATCGACGGTTATAAAAAATAAATTTTAAAAAAATGCCCTGGCAGTCATCTATTAGATGACTGGCAGGGTCATTGAATAGATGGCATCGAATAGATGACAGATGTGTCATCTATTCGATGCCATATTTCTCAATATGTTAACTACCAAGTCCTTTAACCACTGCTACTCTATCTAAATGTCTTGTTCTATGTCTTCTTTTTCTTTTTCCATCTGGTATTCGGAAGCTTTTTTTTTTTTTTTAAAGAATTTTCATCGCCATATCGGAATGTCCTAACCACCTTATTTAAGAAACCATGATCATTTTCAGTATGTTAGGTTATTTGTATTTTGATTGTAATTCATGGTTGTAATAAATTTTCCAGTTTCCATTTTCTCTTACTGCACCAAAAATTGTTCTTAATATTTTAATCTTAAAAATCATCAGTTTCCCTTCGTCTGCTTTGGTCATTGTCCAGCACTCGCTGCCATATATAACTAATGGTCTCACTAGTGTCTTGTGCAACTGTATTTTTGTTTCACAACTTATGTACTTAGATTTGAACTGGTTTCTCAATCCATGATAACATCTGTTTTATTTAGAATTTATTTCGAAACATTTAATCTGAAGAATGAAATTTTTTCATCAATAATAATCTTTTAAAATTAGGTTTTATGTTAGGCTGTTAAAATGAAAAGTCTGCAGAGGACTTCGGTCTATCAGTTTTTAGTTGTATGCATAAATCAAATTGAATAAAATAAGCTAAATTATGGTTTTTGAAAAAGGACTGATTATAAAAAATGAGACAAGTTATCCAAGAAAAATAATTCTTCGTTTTTTTTTTGTTTAATTTAATTCATTTCTTTTACGTTTTAAAGTGTGATGAGACATTCTGTTGCAATCTTTTGTAAATGTATACCCTTTTGGTAATTTATTCTCAATTAATTAGATTTAGTAATTATTTAAATTGTTATTGGAAAAAATATAAACATACGTTATAAATTTAATATCTCCTTTTTTATTGACATTTTACTGAAATAATTTCATATTGATAACATAATTTTTAATAAATAATCGATTATTGTTTGAAAACAAACTTATTAATGGTATCAAAAACCATTACTGGTTTAAAAAAAAAAAATTCCTAGCTTACGGAACTCCTGTGACCTTTCCTCGTAGCCCTATGGTTCCGCGGAACACCTTTTGGGAACCACTGCTTTACAGCACTGTAGTTTTCTAAAACTGATTAATATAACCAGGTATGCATTCCTCTTTATGCATTTTATTAATTTTTGCTAAATTATTATTAGAATGTATAAGCATTCAAATTCGAAAACCGTATTTGTCCCAAGAGACAACATTTTAAATTTTGGCAACTTGAGGTAATAAAAAGGATAAAGTTACTCCAATAATGTAAAGTTACTCCAAAAAAAAATGACTTTATAAATATATGAATGGAATACCCGTTCTTTGTAGAGTGGAAGTAAATGATCCATAAACTGAAATCGGTATTAATCAATACAACGAAATCATACTCAAAAACAGAAAGGCATATATATTTATTCAATTAAAAACAAAATTAAGTTATCGCAATAGTTATTCATTTATTATTTCTGTCGTTTCCTGGTAACTTTAAGTTATTAAATCAATCAAAACATATTGAAAATCATCCCACAATAACAATAATAACAACAAACAAAGGTTAGTTGCTATTAGTTTCGTTTACCATGATGCCAACTCCTGATAGTTAAAGTCCCGCAGTGGATTGATCGTTAAGACACGGTTCCCAGCAGATCACCGTAGTCAAGCATCACTGGCTGCGGTCAGTGTGCGGGTAAATGACCACTTGGATTAGTCTGCGTAGGGACCGAGGGTGTGCGGTATTGGTCCTCGTAAAACTATCCGTAAAGAACTCGACTTCGTGCAGGTCGTCGGGCTACCGAAGCGGGGGTGCCATCCCCTCTGCAGAGGATCAAAATTGTGATGGCATGTCTTCGGATCATCCTCAGAGATGTTTCCCGACCGTCGCCAATAGCCCATTGTGCAGCTCTAGTGCGACGTAAATGAACTACAACAACAACATGATAGTTAAAGTCTACCACAACCAAGTAATTTAACCTGTACTCATTCTTTTGGGGGTCATAAATTTCCACAGCACATGTACACATGAAATATCTATGTTTGTATATTTGTTATCGATTAAAACAACTTATTACTACAAAATCAGTTACGCTACTTACCAAAATTAATTATTCATCATTGGCGTCAATTATAATTAACACTTTCGCTGCCGATCCCGCACCAGTATGAGGAGAAATTTTTTCAAACAGTTTGAGTTAATAAAACATATCAAGTGGTAGCAAAATGCATATTATTATACAACTATTTTTGCAGAAAATAGATTTCCTCCTAACAATAGTACTTTGTTTAAGGAAAGAAATAGGTTGTGATTTTTTTTTTTTAAATTGGTTTCTAAAATAAGAAAATTTAATTTTGATTTTATCTTTATCGATTACCATTTTTTCAGTGGCAGACATAGCATAATCACCTGTATTCGACTAGTAGTGAACGTGTTAAGTGATTTTTTTAATGGTTTCATCATCATCAATGGCTCGACAACTCAGGGTGGGTCTTGGCCTTCTCAAGAAGTTTTTCCAGGTTATTCCAAATATTCCTTCATATCTATATAAAAACTACTATTTTGAATAGAGGGTCTTCAAAAATTCTACAAAACATAAATATAAGATTTTTGTGGTTTGAAGAAAAAGCTCACAGTAAATTTTCTCCTGGGGCCAGTAAAAACCGAGTCCAGGTTTGTTTAAATGCATAAAATTTCCCGAAAATCTTGACTTACCTTTAAATTTGAAAAATAAAATGATATTGAGCCAGTACTTCTTTTCTACAATTTACCTGTGTTTTTTAATTCAGAGGCTAATGCTCCTAATTATGAATATCATAAGAAATCAAATTAAAAGAAGAAAAAAATTATGACTAAGGCCTATTCTCTGATTAGGACTTGACCTCATTCGAAGGATATTTTTTACTACCTGGTCAGAGAATAAATTGCAATGTTTTTTAATGTTTCAATGTAAAAAACATCATTTTGATAATTCTCTTCTTCGTAAACCAGTTTTACTTCAATTTTCAAAATCATTTTAATATTTAAAGTCCATCCTGAAGAACCACAAATGGACTACTACATGGAATTATAAAAAATTGTTTTTCTGAAAGTTTATCACAAAAAAAGAAACTAAAGCAAACAATTGAACAAACTTTTAATAAAAAATAGGCATTCTTCTTTAAGAAAAGTTGCCAGAAAATATGTATGTAAATAATAAAAGTTAGAATCTTTTCAAAATGCTTTTATTTTACTTTCTACTTAAAGATTTCTTTCAGCAACAACTTAAATTTTCAAAATATTCAATACATTTTAAATTAGACATCCACAGCATTATAATCCTTTAGTAAAGTAACTAATAGATTAATTAATTAAATTTAACTGAATCTTTTTATAAGTGGAAAATATAAGCATTTATTAGCTCAATATTTCCTTCAGTTTAGCTATATGTGCCAATCTAACATTCCTCCATTTTCTCCAAGCATCCAAAGAATGAATGGAAATTTTTTCACACAGCTGTTGGTGTATTTCTTCAACGAATTTTCCTTCCATTTTTGGTACCGGACCAAATGTTTCAGACACATTGTAGATGCCCCTTGGACTTCTCTCACAATAATCTATCATACCTAAAAAAAGAGAAGAAGAAATGGGCAGAAACAAATTGAATTATTTAGGATTTAGCTAAAAATTAAATACCATCTTATCCTTAGGCCATTCTAGAGAGATATTACTTGTAAAGAAGGCAACAATAACTTTGCATCATATTAATGCAAATTTAAGCAAAATCCAATTTCTATAATATTCCCACCTAAAACCGCGATGGCTCAGGGTATAGAGCGTTCGCCTTCCAATGAGGCAAACTGGGTTCGAATTCCGCATCTGTCTTGCACCGACCACATTGCTGAAGTGAAATATCCTCAGTGAAAGACGAATCATGGGTTAAAGTCCCCTTGCCATCAGGCTAACCATGGGAGGTTCTCATGGTCTTCCTCTCCACAGGGGTGATTGTGAGCCCAAGTCAAAATTCCGGAAAATTTCTTAAATAAAAAAAAAAAGTTTAAATCGAATAATTAGAAAAAAAATTAAACAAGGTTTTCCTTTTTCCCAAAATTTCTTAGTAAAATTAAAATACATTTAAAATTTTTTACATACCTATGAAAGACCTGGAGAAGTAATTGAAATTTACAAATACGTCTTTCTTTCTTGAGTTTATTATTATAACTATTTACTGATAAAAAATTAATATTAATTTTGAATATAAGCTTAAAAAGTATCTGGCTCTCCCTTAAAAAACAAATAAAATAAACTGTGTTTTAAAGTTCCACCTTTGAAATTTGATTTCCAGAAACTTTTGTGATTAATGATTTTTTGAAATGTTTGAACCTTCGATCTCCGGAAACTTCCGGATCACGGTTAACGAAAAACCCGGAAATCCGGATTTTTTCCGGAACACAATCAGCCCTGTCTCCATGTAACGCAAATGCGGGTTAGCTCCATCAAAAAGTCCTCCACGAAGGCAAATTTCTCTTAATACTCGATAAAGGAGTTCCTTTGTCTTCTGTTTTGGGTTCAAAATTACAGGGCTACGAAGTTGAACATTAGTAGACGTAAACCCATAAAATTGGGTCGGCTGTTCAGCAACGGTTATAATATTCCCACCTAGGGCCGGGATTGCCTGGTTGGTAGGACACTGGGCCCATGTCCAAGAGATCGTGGGTTCCATCCCCGCCGCCCGAAGACTCCCCGTGTAGTAAAATGGTGACTGATGCACGTTAAATCTGTCGAGTCGCAAAGTCCTCTATGTTCCCATAACAAATCAATATCTCTGGGGGTACTGATCCAGGAGTTTCCTTGTCTTCTGGATTAGTTCAAAATTACAAGGCTACGGAGTTGAGCATTAGTAGTCGTAAACCCAAAATTGGGACCGCTGTTCAACGACGGATATAAATATATATATATATATATATATATATATATATATGCCCACCCGGCTTGCACTACCCAGTGCCTACATAAATTATCCTCAGTGGTAGATGTATTATGGGTTAGAGTCCAGTTTCTGTCAGGCTAAATGTGGGAGGTTTTCCTCTCTATGTAATGCAAATGCAGGTAAGTACCATCAAAAGGCCCTCCACAAAGGCAAATTTCTCCCAATACTTGATCCAGGAGTTCCCTTGATTTCTGGATTAAGTTCAAAATTACAAGGCTACGGAGTTGAACATTGGTAATAGTTAACTCAAAATTGGGTAGGCTGTTCAAAGACGGTTATGAAACAAAATATTTTGGAACAATTTTAAATTAGATAAACACATTTCAAAGATTGCGTGCAAATATGTTTCGATTTACTTAAAACCTTCTTAATACATGGTGAAATATGCATTTAAATTAACATTAAAAGGCCCAAATATTCCACTGCCCCATAGACTAAACTATCAGGACCATATTTCGAAACAGCAGCTACACCTATATTTTGATGATCAAAAACCCAAATCCACAACAAAAAAAAAATAGGTTAATTGAGAGAAAGTACATTTATTCTGAGAAAGTACGTTTTTGTGCCTGATTCTAAAATTAATAGTTAGCTGTAAATAATATTAATTAATAGTTAGCTGTAATTAATTGTTTTAGTTTAATTAATAGTCAGTTCTAATTAATTAGCATATTAGATCAAACCTTTGAACCATTAAGATTGGCATTATTTCATGAAAATCAGATCAGTAAAGCAAATATTTCATACAATTTTTTTAGCCTTTTTTTTTGCTCAGTTCTATAACAAAGTACAATATCACAAGCTATATCTTAGTGATAAAAAAAGTAAAGAACTAATGCAGCTGTCAGTTGTTGGTTAAAGGGGTTTAAGCCTTCACAATTTCTAGATCAGTGACCTGATGGCAATGTGGTCAGCACTGTTGACGAGCGGCATTTACTTTCCAAATAAGCTGCTATGCAGCTCGGTGGTAGCTCAAAGATACAGAATGTAATATACTACATCAAGGTTGTGAAGATTGTTCACATGAATCTATCGAATTAAAAATCTCCAGAAAGACAGGTCAAAATGTCTTAAGTCACAACATTTAAATAACCAATTCTTGTCCTAAATGAAAGATTACGTGAAAAGAGACTTTAAGAAAAGTGACCCATGATGCTTCAGTTTGAAATTACACATTAATCATAATTCATAAGTATTGTTCAATGCATACTAGCAACCTGCTTACTATACGATTACATAAAATTTTTGGTATAAATTTAAAAAGCCTGCAATTTATTTGGAACTTTCGTTTTGTTAGAGCCAGGGGCGGATCCAGAAATTTTTCCTGGGGGGGGGGGGATAGACTCAGATCNCCCCCCCCCCCCCCACACACACACAATTCATTTTTTTTATCAAAAAAAAATTTTTTTAATTTTTTTTAAAAAAAAAACTGGGGTTTTTAATGTTAGTCTTCTCATTTACTTATTTCATAATGAAGAATAGAACAATACATAAATAATTCAAGTATTAATAATTCAAGCATGGTGCCAGATTTTAGTTTAGAGTTTCGCAAGTTTCCCATCTTCACCTTTATACCACCTTTGGTTAAACCTGTTGAAGCGCGCTTCAACATTATTAATGTTTACAATAAAACTATGACGAATTTTGTTTTAATTCTTGAAACAGTGAAGAGCATAATTAGATGAAGAAAAATATAGATATTTCCGACATACCAAGGTGTATATGCCCACTTAAATAACTTTTAAAATATTTAATTTCTTTTGAAAACTATTAAAAAAGTTATTATTTTTATTTTATTTTTCAATTTTGGGGGGGTCATGACCCCTATGACCCCCCTGGATTCGCCCCTGGTTAGAGCACCCCATTTACAGAGCTGTTATGATAAATATATTTCCAAATCGTTACACTTCATACGTAGATAAATACTGCATTAAAACAATGAAAATAAAGCAATAGAGAATGTATTTGAAAAATCATTTTTATTTCGAAATTAAATAATGTATCGAAATATATAAAAGTACTTTAAACATATTCAATCAAAATTCAGGCAATATTAACAATGATATTAAACTTTAAACAAAAAAAATTAATACGGCACTATAAATTTTATTATACTAAAAAAATAAAATTTGTAATACTGAAACATTTCATAACAGTAAAATATAGGTTTTCATTGGTTTAAAGTTTTCTTCAATTTAGCTAAGCATGCCAATCTGTCATCTCGCCATTTCCTGCGAACATCCAAACTATGAAGAGGAACTTTTTCGCACATCTGTCGATGTATTTCTTCGGCTACATTTCCTTCCATTTTTGGAACAGGACCAAATGTTTCAGACACATTGTGGATGCCTTTTGCATATCTTTCGCAATAATCTATCATACCTGAAAAGGAAAATAACTTCTAAACTACAATTTTTAGTACAAATTTGTTACTAAGAAATCATTACATATTTTGAAAAATAATATTAACCAAATAAAATAACTAATTTTATTTTAATTGTCTTATTAGTCCACTAAGAGAGCAGCTTACTTAGATTAAAAGACAGAAAGAATTTATACCATTCAAATTAAATTTTAAAAATATTGAATTAAAATTAATTTATTATACTTTAGCCAACCAGTAGAGCTATCAAAGAAATATTTATTTGATTTGAATAAAAGAATTATCACTTCTTTTTCTATAGAACAAAGAATATATGAAACAGCGATTTTTATTGTTTTAAAAAGTCAGTTAAAAACAATGTATTATAGCAAGTAGAGGTCTGAAGAGAAAAAATATATCAACAAGCAGTTACTAAAACATCTATTATTTAGATTGCCAGGACAAATTACAGTCTGATACTTTCTGAGCACTTAATAAAACAAGGCAATGCATTTTGAATTAGTAAATAATTAAAAGTAGCAAAATAAATACAATATTTGTGTAACTAAAATTTAATTGCATCTCTTTAATTTAGAATAAAGAGTACTTAAATTTTAAAAAACAAGTCAAATAAAACCAGTATAATAGTATGCCAAACGTATAAACAGCAAATTTTACACATAAGGATAACACCAAAACATTTTAAGCAATAAAACCTTCTTTTTTTCTTAGCATTATTATATTTTTTAAATTATACTAATAAATATTAATTAACATACCACGTTCTCTTTTGTGTCACAGTTGACAGATCAGGTCAGTTTCAATTGGTCCATCATGTATCTTGATTAATAAAGTACTTAACCCAAGTAATACTTATCCTCCCAAATCCAGGATGGCTAGGTTAAGGTTCTGAACTGTCACTGTCAAGGACTAAAGTTCTATTCCCTGTGGCACATTAAAGTCAACCTAGCTTCAGATAGATGTGCACCAGCTAATCAGGAAGTAAAGGCTACTGGTTTGGAACATTGACCACACTGCCACTAACATACCTTAGAAATTACGAAAAACTTTTAATCTCCATGACCCCCTTATCCATGTTAACTGGCTGTTGCAAAAGTGCTTTACTTTTTTATCTTAACTACCTTAGAGCAGCGTTTCCCATAAGCTGTTTCGCAGAACTCTATGATTCCGTGGACAAGTCAGAAAGCACTATTTAAAGGTTTTATAAGTTAAGACTTCTGGGCCGGGATAGCCTGCTCGGTAGGGCGCTGGGCCCATATCCAAAAGGTCGTGGGTTCGATCCTCACCGGCCGAAGACTCCCCGTGTAGTAAATGGTGACTGATGCACGTTAAATCTGTCGAGTCTCAAAGTCCTCCATGTTCCCACAACAAATCAATACCTCTGGGGGTACTGATCCAGGAGTTTCCTTGTCTTCTGGATTGGTTCAAAATTACAAGGCTACGGACTTGAACGCAAGTAGTCGTAAACCCATGAAATTGGGTCGGCTGTTCAACGACGGTTATAAAATAAAAAAATAAAGTTAAGACTTCTATTTTTCTTTTTTAAATGGCAATGACATTTAAAAGCTAGAACATGTTTGTATTCAACCAATAATCTATTTATTTCACATTTTGTTATTTTAATGAAATTATTTAAGTTAAAAACTAATTTTAAAAAAAAGAAATAGCAAAATTTAAAAACAGTATATGAAATATGTTAGGAAAAGGACATGCATTTACAAATAATATTTTTCAACAAACTTTAAAAATCACAATAAAGTAACCAAATTCAAGAACAAAATATTTTTTTTCCTGAAAATCATTCTTTCGATTTAAAACAGTTTTCAAAAGCCATAATTCAGCTTATTTTATTCAATTTCAACTATATTTCAACTGTATTGAACTGTATATGAAGTATTGATGTGATAAAGAAGGTTATAAAAGTATCTGTTCATAAATATTTTAAAAAGAAGCATTTATATAAAATAATAAAATACATTTTAAAGAACTTTTCCTTTAATCAGGGGTGATTGCGAGTCCAAGTCAAAATTCCGGAAAATTTCTTGAGTTAAAAGAAAAAAATTTAAACAAGGTTTTTTTCCTTTTTCTCAATATTTCTTAGTTTACTTAAAATATTTTTAAAATTTTACACATACCTATACCATTTACCTATGATGAACTGGAGAAGTAATTAAAATTTACAAACATGTCTTTCTTTCTTGAGTTTATGATTATAACAACTATTTAATGATAAAAAATTAATATTAATCTTGAATATAAGCTTATAAAGTATCTCTCTGGCTCTCCCTTACAAACAAATAAAATAAACTTTGTTTTTAAGTTCCACCTTTGAAAATTTCATTTCCGGAAACTTCTGTGATCACTGATTTTTTTAAACTTCTGGACCTTCGATCTCCGGAAACTTCCGGATCACTGTTAGCGAAAAGTCCGGAAATCCGGATTTTTTCCGGAGCACAATCAGCCCTGTTTAATTTTAAATCTTTCAAAACAGACAGAAACTAATGCAATATTTGCAAAAATGTATTCCCTATCAATCTAGAAAGATAGAATAATAATAGAAGTCTACATGTTATTATGAATTCCCTATAATTGAATAGAATCTATATATTTTTAACTGTTTAAGCATTTTGACATTGATTCTTAAATCTATAAAATGCAAGCACAATTGATTGGCTTTAAGGAAATCTAAATAATAGATAAATTTTATATTAGGTACTAAAATTGACCCTTAAATAACTAGAATTTATTAATAAATAGAATATATTTACGAAATGTGCATAAAAAGTTATTCACAAATATATATTGCTGCATTAAACAATAGATTGTTTCCTTACAAGCTGCTATAGAAGGCTACTTTAAAATAGAATAAAAGAGTTTTCCAGGGTCAAAATTTATAATTATATCTTACTAGAAAGCAGCATGAATGATAAATGATGAATAAAATGTCAAAGGTATATTTAGATTCCATAGTTACTAAATCATATAGCATAGATATATAGATAGATATATATAGCATAGATACTAAATCATATAGCATAGCTATAAAAGAAAGAAAAGGTCTTTAATAGCCTTAGTCATTAAATTTTAAACCTAAAAGCAAAGAAATATTTATTCATTTATTATTTATTTTTCACTATTTATTATGTAATAAACAAAGTGGCATATTACCATTGGCATTTAAATGGCATGTTTCAAATGTCCCAAGGAAAGCATATCTCATTCCTAGCCCTTCTGACATCACAGCATCTACATCCTCAACTGACATAACACCATCTTGCACAAGTCGCCAGCACTCATTGATAATAGCATATTGCATGCGATTAATAGCTGCACCATAAATTTCTTTCTTGCAAACAACTGGTTTCTGGCCAATCTCTTTCATCAAATCCACAGTTTTGGACAATACCTCAGGCTTCGTTACAGAAGTAGGTATGATTTCAACGACTGGGACATAATAAGGTGGATTACACTAAAAAAAAAAATTTCAAAATACTCTGAATTGAAAATAAAACAAAAATTGTAATAAAATAGAATTTAAAAAAAATTTTATGCACTAAACGAAATAATGCTGCAAAAGAAAAGATCCATATTAAACAATGATCATAACTTTTTACAAATCAGCATATCATGCATGTTCAGCCAATTATAATTTTTTATAAATCAGCAAATCATGCATGTTCAGCAAATCATAATTTTTAATAAATCAGCAAATGCTGCATGTTCAGTAAATCATAATTCTTTTCGTGTTTTTATAAATCAGCAAATCATGCATGTTCAACAAATCATAATTACCAAATCATGCATGTTTAGCAAATCATAATTTTTTAGATTATGTTTTAAATAACAAGAGCAAACTAGAAATAACAAGAGCAAACTAGGCATAAGAAAATGTTAAATTCAACCAAAGCTAAAGAGTGTAGAGAGGGGAAGAAATACAAGCATCTGAATACCTACTAGTGTAAAAACACACAAACACAGGCCATTTGGAAATTTCAGCAGACACTATACCAGGAAAACATATTATAAAGAAATAAGATATCAGAGTTTGCTTATGTACTACAACAGATTGTTCTGCTATGGAAATTAAAAGTTGTTTTACATGTTTGGAGTGAGGAACTGGTAATTGTGTTTGATTGCGACTTTCTGTGTTGCTGAAATCTCTTGTTCCATGACTAACAAGAGCTTTGACTCAACATTAATTTTCAAATAAATAATACGACAGGTTTCATCAAACCACAACTTGCTTAATTCGAAACAGTTAAAGAGAATGCATTTGAAGTAAATACATAATCAAAAAGTGTCTCCCAAAACCATATATAAAAAAGATTGGGTCTGGGAGAGATGAAACCCATTTAAAGACCCCATTCTTAGTTGCTGCCCCTGTGGCAGAATTTTTTCGGGCTTTCTGCGACAAATCTCTCCAGCATTAATATATCTTTCTGCACTATACTTTTAACAATAACAAATATATATGTTACTAATTTAAAGTAACAAAAGCGTCAACTTCAAAAGAAAAAAAAACTTTTCGGAAAAAATAATGTAATTTTTAAAATTGAATATGTAATTATTATGAGCTATATTATCGCATTTTATGGGGAGAAAATACACTAATTATTTCCTTTTGCTTTCTTTGTAAGTCATCATCAAATTTAAAAATAGTGAAATTCATAGCAGTAACTAACGAAGAAAAAAAAGATCGACTGCAAAATCACGCCAAATCGAACTCTTTACAAAGGGGAGTTACAAATGCTTGTTTTCATTTCAAGATTCAGCTGTTGTAATAAATAATATCAGATTAAAAATATCGGATTTTAAAAACTATGTGAAAATCAATAGCAATAACTGCCAAAAAAAAAAATAGAATGAATATTTCTACAGAAAAGAAAAACAAACTTTTTACTTCATTAATCTCAAATGAAAATAGAATACAAGCCTTTTTTTCCAACTCTGATGCGCAAGAATGGCATATAATTTTGAATATTATTCTGAAGAGAAGATAGAAGCTTTCGAAAATTTCTGCAGAAAAGAAAACCAAAATTTTTTTCTTCCCAAATGAAAAATATTTCTGCAAGAACTCAGTAACATTCTGCAACAATGTTGCCGTGTCGCCACGATTCTGCCACGGGAGTTGCTGCACACTGCTTTTTTTTCTTAACATACACAATTTTGCATGCTCAGTTAATATCAAGCCTATATAAGCTGGCCTTCCCCAATTCATGTACTTTGCCAACTCTAAAAAAATAAATAAAAACAACAACAAAACTTACAGGGTGGGCAACGATCACTTGGGTTTTGTGTTTCATGTTTTCAGACAATTTAGACGGAGTTATACAACTTGTAGAGCTACACAATATAACATCATCAGTTGCTAATTGATCCAATTTTTGAAAAACAATCTTTTTCAATTCTTCATTTTCAGGAACAGACTCCTGTAAATAAAAATTAATATTAAACAATTTAAAAATTATTAATGACCACTAAAATAAATTAAATTTGTTTGAAATTATTATTCATTGCTATTCCATACTCATTGTCAATAAAAGCTGATGCTAAAGATTTACTATTCGTCCCCAAAATTATCTTGTAAGTTTCTCGTAGAGTCAGTAATTATTCTCTAATCGACAACTAGTTAGATAAGTGCTATTTGTCATAATCTTGGTACCAAAAGCAATGCTAAGTGTCAGGTTATTTTGTTTATTTTTGCTATCAATTCTAGCTGAACCAAGCATAAAGATCTTTAATGGTTGGTAGTTTGAACAAACCATTTATAAAAACTCTTACAGTGAACTTTCTATGTTATAAACATTTCATTGAATGGTTGAAATAACATTAAAGTTAATCTAAACCACATTGTAACTTGATCATACTGTTGAAAGCTTCAAAACAAGTTTTTTTTCTAGAGTTTGCTTTATGAACACCATTTCTTCCAGTTAATGAAAACAAGCATCAGTTAAAAAGAATAGAATTTTAAGGTGATTCAGTAAAAAAATTCTTTGAGATAGGCTGAGTGTTACTTGGATTACGTAATTCAGAATGGCAAATCATTCATCTTTTAATTCTGATGTTCTTATAAAGCGTATACACAGCAAGATAGGTGAGTTCTAAAGCTAGAGGGATACAGTTCACAACTTTTAATAAAATATTACATAAAATTGCTAAACAAAAGTGAGTCAAAATTTCAAATAATAGAAAAACATAATAAAAAATGTAAAGGAGAAAATTAGCAAGAAAGAAACTTTTTTATAACAAAACAAAATAAATTTTAAAATACTGAACTAAGTATAATATAATGTGTCTTTATTAACAAGGGGTAGAAATTAAGAAAATATAGTCATGGGGCCCCAAGTAGCCAGTAACTAAAAGATATAACTAGTCTGTACACATTTTCACTGATGTATTTACATGTATCTAATGAGATGGGCTTTTTAAAAGTGAATAAAGGTTTCTAAAAAATTGTGAATTTTTGTATTCCTAGTGAGAACTTGGGTCTAACTAAGCATAAAGTTATGTGTCTTTAGCAACTACAGGCAGAAATTAAGAAAATTTAGTCACTGACCCCAAGAAAGCAGTAACTAAAAGATATAACTAGCCCGTACACTTATTTACAGGGATGTTTATACATATCTAATGGGCTTTTTAAAACTGAATAAAGGTTCCTAAAAGAATATGATGTTCACAATTATGATGAATAAATATGCTATTTCATGACGATAACACAGGATAAAAGGTGGAACCGAAAAACAAATAACCAAAACAGTATGCCATTCCTTTATATTGAATTTTGGTCTGTTATACAGCTAATTATTGTCACTAATATTTGTTATATTCGTGTCAAACTGTTATGATCCAAATTAATAGACCACAATTAATATTGAGCCCTAGATTAATATCAATTGGTTTAAATCAAAATAATTTATAATAAGTAACTGGCATATATCGGTAATAAAATATGCTCATTTATGACAAAAAGTTAAAATTCATACAGGTTTTAGTCTCATTTCTTAAGATATTTTCAAAATAAAATATCTAGTTATTAATTTTAAGAATGCAGTATTTAAAAGGAAAATTTATCAATATATTTCAAATGGTAAAAGAGGTGATTAAAAAAAACTATTTATTGAAGATAAAGCAAAATTAAACTGATTAAAGAATAATCTTTTTCCTGCTTCTAATTTTAATGAATTTAAATTGATAATGAGTGACGAAATTTTTTTCTGTTTGCTGAAAATATTGAGGGAGACGGTTAGAGAATTTCAATTTTTGAGGGGTACATATTTCTACTGCCCCTTACCTCGCCAACGACCTCCATGGCAGAAATTCATAGCAATCAACTTACATAGGTTTTGCAGTTTACATACGTAAGAAATGTCAAATATTTAATAAAAATGGGTTTAATGTGTGTATTTTATAAAATGTTTTAAATGAGTTTTGATTACAGTTCACAAATGCACAAAAAAAATATATCATTTCTGTTTTCTGAATAATTTAGTCTAAATAATCTATTTCAATTGTGAATAAATAATTTAAAATATTATTAATTAATAAATTGCAAATAATCAACAAAATAAATTTAAGAATGCAAAATTCTGCCTCCAAAAATAATATATTGTAATTCTTCTTAAAGATACATCTTACTTGTACAAAAAAGGAGTTTTTAACACAATCTTCTAAACTTTCTGTCCTAGTGATACATTTCAGTTGTTCTTCTGCAGACAGATTTCCCCGAAGAAGCTGGTTGGCTTCTAGCTCTCTCAACTCCTTTTCAATAGTCTTTAAGGCTGCCAACGAAACATTGCTATCTCTATCATAAATAGTAACATTGTATCCAGCACTGGCAAATAACATAGCCCAGCTATGTCCAATAAGTCCGCTATAAAAAAGCAACAAATCAAATTACATACTGTAATCCGTGAAGATCGAGATTGAAACAAAAAGTAAAGGTTTAGTAACAAAAGCAGACAAAGCAGTATTTCGCCATATCTTGACAGCTTTCTAAGCTAATTGAAAAATCTTTGGGCCCAATTATAAAATTTGTTTATCTGAAGATATATCCAGGCAAAAAATAAATTAGTAAATATGTAGTACTTTTTATTAAGTAATTGTCAAACAAATTTTGAATTGTAAGGTTTACAATTTTTTACCTTATTTTAAATTATCTAATTTTCCATTGCAAAATACAAAATGTTGGCGAAATCAGTTGAATAGCCTAAGAAATCGAATTTTAAGGTCGTATCTTTACACAGATACATTAAATAATTATAATTTATAAAAAATATAAATGTTTCTTTAAATGAGTTGATAATTTTTTCAACCAATCACTTCAAGGATTTAATTAATTTACTATTAATATTAAGTACAGTTATTAGAATAAATTTCCTAGTTACATGTTACTTTATTATGTTATAATAGCTTTAGTACATCTAATTTCTAGGCTATGCAGCTCAGCATTAATCGAAATAACAGTTTAGAATTTCGGTCTTATTCATATAAAACTGAAAAATAAATTAGGAGTACAAAACTTCTTTTTTTTTATAACTGCATGCTTCAAGAGATAAGAGGAGTTAAAATGGGAGTAATTGAAAATTAATTTTATATACAATGAATAAAATTATTGCTGAGTGTTTTTTTATTAAGCTGATTGTTCTTATAGTTTTATTTTCAATAACTTACCAAATTGGATAAATTTAAATTTTACATAGTTTTATTCAGAATTATTTAATATTTTCTAGTCCAAAATTTGGGTTTTTAACAGTAATTGTCAAAACAAAAAAGAGAGTTTAATATCAAAATTATGTAAGAATACAGCTGATTGATCACTTGTAATTTTTTATGTTTATTAATAAATACTTTTTATTTATAATAGCTAATAATTATCCTTACACTAAAATTTTTGACAAGAAGAAAGGGTATTTGAGTAGACAGATAATACGGTTAATTGTTTAAAACTTGCCAACCCAGGACTTTAATGGAAAATTTTCAATATTTTTAAATCAATATCACAATTCTTAGACTTTCATTTAAAAACTTTGCTAATGTTTTTTGGCTAATTAGAAAAAGTACAAAAAATAACTGAACCAGTCTAAACTGCTTAAGTTTGGAAAAAAATTACTCACAATAAAAAAAACTTTTTTTTTCTTTTTCCCCAGAAGGTAATATAATAAATATCAGTCATTTACCCGGGCACAATTCCTACCAACTATTTTTTTTTTCCTTACGACATTTTAGAAATATTCAAACAAGTTACAAAACAAATTAGCCCTCATCCAAAACAAAACAATAAGCTTTCATCAATATATAAAACAATATAACACATTATACTAGTTAAATAAATTATTTAGTGGCTTTTATCTTGTGCTTTGTTAACAGAAAAGTACTTAATTGACAATTCTATGGTTACACTTGTTACATGTATTGTGGTGTTGCACTTTGATTTGCAAATACATTTGACCATTTTATTTTAAATTGAACATTTTTTTTTCTTTTTTGAATAATAAAGAAGAATGTCAACCTTTCATATTTATGTAAGAAAAACTTGATAAATTTCAATGGTTTTATAGAATTGAGAATTTTTGAAATATGGTCCCTCTTGTGAATTGAAAATGACGTGAGGAATTAACAATTTCACTTTACTGATTATATTATCTAAACTACATAATAAAAACTTATTTAAAATAATTTTAAGAAAGGAAAGTCAAAAAAGATGCAAACATAAACACATTATTTAACACATTTTCCATTTTAGAAGATAACATGAGTAAGCAATGAAAAACTACATTTCCTATTTCAAATCTTAGAAACATAAAAAATATAATAGCAATTTCTCTTCTATTTCTTATTAAAAAAAAACATATATAATTGATTTCGCATCCGATTTGTGAATCAATTTTTTGGGGATATTACAGATTCGTGATTTGTCACGCCAACTACAATTGGCAAAAGACTTTTGAACTTAAAATTTTTCTAATAAAAAAATAATAACAATAATATAACAAAAACATGTAGATGTTTGCCTGGGGGGAGGCTACGAGTTTTCCTTCGAGTTGATCTCAAACTTTGTTATTTTAATTAACTATTGACCATCATTTAAAAAATAGTGCATAAATTTTACTTAAAAGTTTATCCCAATAATTTCTCATCTTCTCATATAAATTTAAATAGTTGCAAGTAATTATTATGTTATTTACCTTCCTACTACCGCTATTTTTCCTTTAGATGCCATGGTTAATAATTGGAAATGGTTTCAATAGCTTACTGATTTCTTTTGGACAATTTTGACTCTAAGAGATAAATTTTTCAAATAACAATTAGATGATTGTGTCTTATCAAAAGTAAACGAATCACATCTCGTCGTTCCCCCCTGTTTATAAGAAAAATGATAAAGGGAGCTATTCAAGAAAATAACTCAAAAATATTAATCTGTAAAAACTAAAATAAAATAAAATCAATTAATTTTAAATCAATAAAAACCGAATGCAACATTAACGCATGTTGTTTTGTTGACAAGTTGATTTAATGCATTCTGCAGTACGGCTCAAGGCATCGCACTAATCTGTTTAACTTGAAAACTTATTCTCTTATCCTTCCTAATAGACTTATTCAACAGTTTACGAACATACTATTTATTTAGAAATGGAGCACACTGGAAAGAGTATCTTACTCATATCATATCATAATATCATATCGTATGTCATATCATATCGTATCGTATAATATCATATCGTTTATCATAATTACTTGCATCACTCCCTTTGAAGTTCTGGTAAGAAAATAAAGTAAGGATCATAAAAATGATTATTTTACTGTTTTCTAATCAAATATATTATTACCGTTAATGTTTAAAAAATATTTTATTGAGGGCTGTTGCTTGGCTGACCGCCTTTTTAATAAATAGGGGCATTTGATTGGTCGATTACATCATCGATTTCATCGTTATCGCTAAATCGTTTTGTCAGGTTTACTAGAATGGCGATTTTAGCATTTTTATTTGGCGCAATTTTAATAACGCGCATGCTCAGTTTGATAATTTATTCCGAAGTACTTCGTAGACAATGAATATAGAGGCTTGTATCCCCTCCTTTGCTCGTGTTCACTCAAACAAAGACATAAAGATGGAAAGATCAATCACTGTACCAAACAGATGTCAGGTTGAACTTTGATACTGGGCACATCACTGGTCTCTATTTTTTTTATTTGATTTTCATAAATTGTTATGATACATAATAACATTCTGTCTCTGTGCCAGAAATGGTTTTCCTTCGCATGTAACACAAATTTTGATTACTTTAATTTAATTTTCATTAAAATAAATTATTCTTATAACTTTCATGAATATGATTGTATTCTGATACTTAAATTGTTAATTACTTTGATCTCTGAATTGAAGTAAGCATAATAAGGGTGCTTCATTACATTCACAAAATAAAAAAGCTCACACTTTGATTTCTGGGTTGAGTTAATAAGAAGAGCTTTTCGTTCTGTTCAGAAAGATGGTACCCTATCTATTAAGGATAATAACAATGAAAAAATGTTTATCTATAATTTTACTCCTCATTAAATTTTCCAAATAAGTCNCCAATAACAGCGATCTGAAAAACATTTTTGTCTGTTTTTCATAGCATGTAACGCGAAATTTGATAATTTTAATTTCAATTTAATCTTGGTTATAAGTAATTATTTTTACAACTTAATTATTTATTAACTTAATTATTTTAACTTAATTTATAATTAATTAATTAAGATAATTAATTAACTTAATTATTTTAACT